CCATTTGTTATTTTCCCGATCCAGTCCCCCACTGCGGGCACTGCCTGGCCTGAGGCTGGGGGCTCAGGGGGTGGGGCCGGCCCAGAGGAGGGGTGGGGGCCAGGGCACCCACGGATTGGAAAGAGGTAGGAGGATCTCAGGAAGAGGTCTGATGGGGCAAGCGGGTAGCCGGGACCCCGGGACCAGAAGAAGAGGAACACTGAAGTGGGGGTGTGGGAATGTTGGAGGAAGAAAAACGGGAGATGTCTATGAGAGGCACTGGGGCAAAGGCAGAACGGATTGGAGAGGTGGCAGTGAGGTGGGGCTCAGAGCTCCAGGAAAAGCTTCAGAAAGGCCAGGAGCTTGGGCTTTGGGGCTAGGGGTTGAGAGAGTTAGGCATAGAAGTGGAAAACGGGGAAGGGGTGTGGTAGGTGGAAAGAGAGGAATTGTGGCTGTTGAGAAAGGGAAACCGCGAATTGAAAAGGGGCAAAGAAAGGTCCATTTTTAAGAAGACCCATAGGTTTTTGAGGGGTGAGACTGGGAAGGTGATGCCTTTGTGACTCATTTTTCTTTCTCTTACTGCAGGTCACCTCTGACCCTGTTTTCACAATCTTAGACGTAGTTACTTCTGGGGCCTTATAATGGGTCCTTCTAAAACTGAAGGGGAGTAAGAAGCATTGAAAGGGAGAGTTAAGGAGAAAAGATTTCAGGGGTGGTGGAAAGAAGAGAGAATCTGGCTGGCTTTAGCTTTCTAAAGTTGTGACCCCACCCCCAAATCCCCAGAGCACCTGCAGCCCTCTTGGTGGTCTTTCTATAGGGGTCTTCATTACTACCTTGAGCTCTTGAGATATCCCTTTGTGCCCAGAGACCCCTGGGAACATCTCTTGGGAGTTGCCATTTTGTTGCCATGGCAATGGCCCAGTGGGATTTCCAGTAGGTGAGGGGTTCCTAATCTTGATTACACTTCAGTGTGTGTTATATCCTGGGGCTACAGCAGGGTCCCCAGTTCTTGGGGTTTAGCTGGGTTCTAGAGGATGCACCCCTTTTTATCCCTTGGTCTGTTGAACAAGTAGACATGCTACTTGGAGGTCACAGGCATGTCTCAAAGTGTCTTCTCCTAGGTGGTGGGAAGATGAAAATACTCTTGAATTATACTTTTTTCACACTAGTGTTTTTTTGTTTGTTTTTTGTTTGTTTGTTTACTTGTTTGTTTTTGCTTCTCAGTACTTAAATCTTTCAGTATTCTTCAACTTGATTGTCCCATCCCTAGGAGTATCCCCATTTCCTCTTTCAACCAGGCTGTACTCACAATGACCCCTTTTCCTCACTAACCTTCAGTCTTCTACTTCCCTGACCTTGTAGGAATGACCAGGTTCTCCCAGGTGAGGGTGGCCCGTGGGAGAGGGCTGTGGCACAGCCAGATGCCGAGCCCTCTGGAATGGGAACCAGAGATGTGGGCCTGGTCTTAGTTTTGCCTCCATGACCTTGGCAAGGCACTTCTTATTTGCAGCTTCAGCTTTGTTATAAAATGTAAGGATTTTTTATGACCTACCTTTCAGGCCTGAGAATTCTTTGATTCCAAGGTGGTTTAGGCCAGTGCATTATCTGTTGGTGGACTGATTTAGTAGCCTAGCAGGTCAGGAATGAGAAGGGTTGGGCCAGTCATCATGAAATTAACCCTGCAAGTCCCTTCCAGAAAGCTTTGTGCATTGCTTTACTATACTAAAACCACAAACAATTGTCTTCAAGTTGATTATATTTTTTAAGTAGATTGCCAGGCCTTTCTTCTGAGGTAGCTGTTTTGTACCTGACAGTTGGAATCCTCCCATAGTTGACCCTCCAATAGGTTTTCAGAGGCACTTAATCACACAGGAGGAGATTATCCTTCTCCTGTGAAGCAACTGGTGCATTTGAAACTTGTTCCTTTGGGGCTGGAAGCGCATCTCCTTACCACTAAGCCACTAGAACTCCCTCTGAGGTATTAGCTGGACACACACCTCCAACCTTTGGGTTAGCAGCCCTTCTCATAATTCTCCTTTAGTTTCTTTCCTCTTATTAAGGAACTTTTCCCCAATTTTTCTTAACTGTTTTCCAGTTTCCAAAAATGAGCTGTCATTTTCTCTTTGCAGTAAGGTAATCAAAGTGAATATGTTTAGAATGCAGAGTAGGTGTTCGATTAGATAGAGTGACTGGTTATTGGGCCTAGATGCTCAGCTGGTTGGTGTTAGAACATGCTCCAGGCTCGAAAAACAACTTTTCTCCTTCAGTGTTACTTTTTTGCTAATTTTGTCAGCTTTCAGCTGGTTAAGGAAGCTGAGGTGAGGGGAAAGGCACACTGATTGCTTCTGGTGCTTCCATGTATTTCTGTGATCCCTTTGGGTCCCTTGACTGATTTGATGCACAATTTCTGTGATAAGAGGCTGGCAGAATTCAAGCCAATCACAAATAGTTATATTTACTGTGCTTTCGTTTAGATTGTTTTCCCTTTTGTTGTTTACATTTTTTGGATTGATGGTGTTTGAAATCCAATCTGTACTGCAACGTGGGGAAAAGTACGAAAAGATGAGGAAATACCATTTATCTTTCCAGGCCTGCTGACTCAGAATGGATAGGTAAGTTCAGTTGGTTCTCAGGTCAGCAGCACTTAATTCAAGAAGGCCTCCTGAAGTTAGTGGGTTTAAAGGTCAGTAACAAGAACAGAACACCTGTAGATTCATATAATTTGTGGAGTAGGTAGAAAGGAAGGATGAAACTGTAAGAAACTGTCTTTATTCTGAAAAGATTGTATATATAATCTGTAATATGGAGAGACAGGACAGCAAGAATTACAAAATGAAAATAGAAATACAGTGTTCAATAATTTGTGGTTTGGGCTTGGGAAGGGTGTACTGTATTCTGTTTCTTCATTGTATTGTAGGATGGAACGTTTCTTTCACCTGTTCTGATGTGAAGGCCTTCTTCATCAGACTGATGAGAATTTTACTTGAAAGCTTTTGAAGCCAGTATAGCAAAGTATAGATGAGCTTGTTTTGTAACTATAGAGATGTGGTCTTGATTCTTGACCTGTGATTTAATACTTAAGTGTGCTGAGTAATTGACAATCCTGGTCTTTGAGACTCAGTTTCCTTATCTTATGGGCATAATAATGAGAATTACAGAGTTGTTGGTGAATATTAAATGACATTGTGTATATAAAGGGTTTAAATAAAGAAGGTACTCAGTAAACTAGTAGCTTATTTCTTTATATTCTGTTGTAAAGCTCTGTGGAATTTGTGTGCATACAAATATTCCTTAGGGATCAAAGGGTAAAATAGTGTGATCTTCTAGATTGGACCTCAGAGGTACATCGTGAGTGACTTCCCCGGAGATGAAAGAGGTTATATTGTGAGCAGCAGCTCTCTGCTTAACTTGTAGATGAGTTGAGGTAGCCAGTAATGTTATATATGGGGTCTCTACCTCTCTTGGTCCAAAGGCTAGGCAGGAGTCTTACCTTCAGACTTTACTACCCAATTTAGATACTCTTATGGTCTCCATCTACAGGATTCACTGAGTAGAAGTCCTACAAATTCCAGTTGAAACGTGGGAATCCTGCTTCTGACTTCCCACGCCACAGTTGTGGAGAACTTCGGTGAAGCAAGGAATTTTCTGTATTCAGCTGCCCAGGCAGAGGAGAATGGGGTCTCCACAGCCTGAAGAATGAAGACACGACAGAATAAAGATTCAGTAAGTTAAAAGCTACAGTGAGAGGCATGAAAAACTTGGGGCATATAAGCAGAGGATAGACGCTAGAGATGAAAATAGAAATAAAGTTAGATTTGGTATAAAAACATTATTTACCTCCTTCCTAGATGTCAATGAGGAGTGGACGGAAGAAAGAGGCCCCTGGGCCCCGGGAAGAACTGAGATCGAGGGGTCGGGCCTCCCCTGGAGGGGTCAGCACATCCAGCAGTGATGGCAAAGCTGAGAAGTCTAGGCAGACAGCCAAGGTATCCTGTCCTTGGTCCTCCTATGGGGTTATGGTGGGTGGGTGATGTGTCTGTTAGAAGGTTCTTCTGTGTAGCAGAAGTTAATAGTGGCAACTTTGGAGATTCAAAATATTAAGACAGAAATTTTCTCCTTCTAACAGAAAGCCCGAGTAGAGGAAGCCTCTACCCCAAAGGTCAGCAAGCAGGGCCGGAGTGAGGAGATCTCAGAGAGTGAAAGCGAGGAGACCAGTGCACCAAAAAAGACTAAAACAGAGGTGAGAGACTTGGGAGCCATCCTGATCTGTTCTCTGAGAATTCTTTCTCTCCCCTAAACTTCCTTTGCTCACTAGTTCTACCTTGTCTTGCCTGGGCTATGGGAGAAAAGACACATTCTAGTGTTTGTAACGTAACGCTAGCAGACATATACAAAAAAATCTTGAGCGCTTTGACTAGACTCAGATGACAAGGCAGGACTAAAGGAAATAGGAGGAGTTTGAGAGATTCTATTAGCTTCTTTTCTCCTAGGTTCTGGTTTTTAACATAGAGTCATGAAAGAGGTTCAGGGTGAGACGTTTTAGTAGAAGGAAAAAAAGAATTATAAAGAAAATATGTAAATTTTGGGGTCTTTTTCAAGGACTAATGATTTTTGAGATTGTTAAAGGGATACATGAAATGTGAGGAAGGCAAATAGGAAATGGGAAGACAGGGATTTGGGCTCATCTATAACCTGCTGGAGGGTCAGTGGCATATAACAACAACATGGAAGGGGAGAAAGTGCTTTTGAGACAAGGGAAGAAGTCAGGGTAACTGCTTAGAAGCATCTAAGAATGTTAAGAGGGTAGGGAAATCCCCAGATGACAAGGAGGTGGGTTTTAGCAACATCACATACCATTACAGAGATAAGCTTTGAGGGAAACATGATTTTGTGCAAGGGAGGCTACAAATCTAGGGGAAGCATGAAAGGAAAAAATAAAAAAAAAAGATCCTCCCTCCCTCTTCTACAGCAGGATCTCCCTCGGCCACAGTCTCCCTCAGACCTGGACAGCTTAGATGGGCGGAGCCTCAATGATGATGGCAGCAGTGATCCTAGGGATATTGACCAGGACAACCGTAGCACATCCCCCAGCATCTATAGCCCTGGAAGCGTGGAGAATGACTCCGACTCATCTTCGGGCCTGTCCCAGGGCCCAGCTCGCCCCTACCATCCACCTCCACTTTTTCCTCCCTCTCCTCCTCCAGCAGATAGTAGTACCCCTCGACAGCCAGAGCCCAGCTTTGAACCCCATCCTTCTGTAACCTCCACAGGATATGCTCCCATGGAGCCCCCCACATCTCGAATGTTCCCGGCCCCTCCTGGGGCCCCTCCTCCTCACCCACAGCTCTACCCTGCAGGGGCTGGTGGAGGAGTTTTGTCTGGACCACCAGTCGGTCCCAAGGGGGGTGGGGCTACTTCTTCAGTAGGGACCCCTAGTGGGGGTAAGCAGCACCCACCTCCCACCACCCCTATTACAATATCAAGCTCTGGGGCGGGTGGTGCTCCCCCAGCAAAGCCACCTACTACTCCAGTGGGTGGTGGGAACCTACCCTCTGCACCACCACCAGCCACTTTCCCCCATGTGACACCAAACCTGCCTCCCCCACCTGCCCTGAGACCCCTCAACAATGCATCAGCCTCTCCTCCTGGGCTAGGTGCTCAGCCACTACCTGGGCATCTGCCTTCTCCCCATACTATGGGGCAGGGTATGGGGGGACTTCCCCCTGGCCCAGAGAAAGGCCCAACTCTGGCCCCTTCACCTCACCCTCTGCCCCCTGCTTCTTCCTCGGCCCCAGCCCCCCCAATGCGGTATCCTTATTCATCTTCTAATAGCTCAGCAGGTGCCGCCTCTTCTAGTTCTTCCTCTTCCTCTGCCTCCCAGTACCCAGCTTCCCAGGCATTACCTAGTTATCCTCACTCCTTCCCTCCGCCAACAAATATTTCTGTCTCTAATCAGCCACCCAAATACACTCAGCCTTCTCTCCCATCCCAGGCTGTGTGGAGCCAGGGTCCCCCACCACCTCCGCCCTATGGCCGCCTCCTAGCCAACAACAATGCCCATCCGGGCCCTTTCCCTCCTTCTACTGGGGGCCAGTCCACTAACCACCCACCAACCCCAACACACCACCATCACCACCAGCAACAGCAACAGCAGCAGCAACATCATGGAAATTCTGGCCCCCCTCCACCTGGAGCATATGCCCACCCACTGGAGGGTAATAGCCCTCATCATGGGCATCCTTATACCATGTCTCCCTCCTTAGGTTCTCTGAGGCCCTACCCACCAGGGCCAGCACACATGCCTCCACCTCACAGCCAGGTATCCTACAGCCAAACAGGCCCCAGTGGCCCCCCAGCTTCTTCCTCCTCTTCTAACTCTTCCTCCTCTCAAGGGCCCTACCCATGCTCACACCCCTCTCCTTCCCAGGGCCCCCAAGGAGCCTCCTACCCCTTCCCACCCGTGCCTCCGGTTACCACCTCCTCAGCTACCCTTTCCACGGTCATTGCTACAGTGGCCTCCTCGCCAGCAAGCTACAAAACCACCTCCCCACCTGGGCCACCACCGTATGGAAAGAGAGCCCCATCCCCTGGGGCCTACAAGACCGCTACTCCACCGGGCTATAAGCCAGGGTCACCCCCCTCGTTCCGAACAGGGACTCCACCAGGATACAGGGGTGCCTCACCCCCCGCTGGCCCAGGGACCTTCAAGCCCGGTTCACCCACTGTGGGGCCTGGGCCACTACCGCCAGCAGGACCCTCGGGCATGTCCTCTCTGCCCCCACCTCCTGCAGCCCCGGCGTCAGGGCCGCCCATTAGCGCCACCCAGATCAAACAAGAACCAGCTGAGGAGTTTGAGCCCCCTGAGAGCCCGGTGCCTCCAGCCCGCAGCCCCTCACCCCCTCCCAAAGTGGTAGATGTGCCCAGCCATGCCAGTCAGTCGGCCAGGTGAGTGCCCTGGGCTGGGTGAGGGCAGCTTAGCGGGAAGGGGTCACAGAATGGGCCTTGGATTCATGCAGTGATTTTTTTCTGAAAGTGCCTGCAAAGCCCTGACGTAAAAGAGCTAAGGGGCTGATAATTTTGGGTTTGGAAGCTGCACGAAGCCGCTGGGCCCATGGTAGCCCTGTAAAGGCTGAGTGCACGCTCTTTGCACACCTGCAGGTTCAACAAACACCTGGACCGCGGTTTTAATTCGTGCGCGCGCAGCGACCTGTACTTTGTGCCGCTGGAGGGCTCCAAGCTGGCCAAGAAGCGGGCCGACCTGGTAGAGAAGGTGCGGCGCGAGGCCGAGCAGCGCGCGCGCGAAGAAAAGGAGCGGGAGCGCGAACGGGAGCGCGAGAAGGAGCGCGAACGCGAGAAGGAGCGCGAGCTGGAGCGCAGCGTGGTGAGTGCGTCACACTTGCGCCTTGCTTGGCGCTGCTCGAGGAGGCTCCAATGGGCGGGTCATGTCGCCACCTGTCGGAGAGGCGGAATCACTGCAGTTCAGGAAATGGAGACCAGAAGGATTCCAAGTGAAGGAATTTGCATTCCTGAGTTAGGCAAGTGCAAGGTCATGTGGAATTAGGTGTGTGTCACAGAAAGGGCAGCTATCCACCAGGGAGAGAAGTACCTGGTAGCCATAGTTCCAGTTAGGGGAGGCATTTTGGCATTCAGCTGTTGAGACAAATGGACAGTTCAGGATGACTACCTTACCAGAACTGCTTTTTAAAATTCATTTTCTCTGTGTTCTCCTTAGAAACTGGCTCAGGAGGGCCGTGCCCCGGTGGAATGCCCATCTCTGGGCCCAGTGCCCCATCGCCCTCCATTTGAGCCAGGGAGTGCTGTGGCTACAGTTCCCTCCTATCTGGGTCCTGACACGCCAGCCCTCCGCACCCTCAGCGAATATGCCCGGCCTCATGTCATGTCTCCTGGCAATCGCAACCACCCGTTCTATGTGCCCCTGGAGGCAGTGGACCCGGGACTCCTGGGTTACAATGTCCCAGCCCTGTACAGCAGTGACCCAGCTGCCCGGGAGAGGGAGCGGGAAGCCCGGGAGCGAGACCTTCGTGACCGCCTCAAGCCTGGCTTTGAGGTGAAGCCTAGTGAGCTAGAACCTCTACATGGGTTCCCTGGGCCAGGCCTTGACCCCTTTCCCCGACATGGAGGCCTGGCTCTGCAGTCTGGCCCACCCGGTTTGTACCCTTTTCCCTTTCATCCGAGCCTGGTGCCCCTAGAAAGAGAACGTCTAGCGCTGGCAGCTGGGCCAGCCCTACGGCCTGATATGTCTTATGCCGAACGGCTGGCAGCTGAGAGGCAGCATGCAGAAAGGGTGGCAGCCCTGGGCAATGACCCACTGGCCCGGCTGCAGATGCTCAACGTGACCCCCCATCACCACCAGCACTCCCACATCCACTCGCACCTACACCTGCATCAGCAGGATGCCATCCATGCAGGTGAGACCCTCTATTTCCCTGCCTTAGCCCTTTGGGCTTCTTCGTGCCTGGCAAGTGACTAGGTTCTTCTGTTCCTTAGGTCAAAACTTCCTTTAGCTGGACATGAGCTTTCTTGTAATTGCTCCTTCCTTTTACCACCCTCAGGGGTACCCCTCACCCCTAGCCTGCCTCCACATGCCGTAACACTAGGTAGAGTTGATATGCCACACACCTGGTCCTCAGTCTAGTAGTCCACCCTATGTCTATAGCCCAATCTGGAGTCCCATAAAGAAATACCACATTTCTACTGTTAAAACTACCTTCCCCCAACCCATCACTGAGGTGTTGTTCCTTTGGTTTCAAGTCTGTTGGGTCTTCCACTGTTTCTTGCCATTCTCTCCTCCTCTCCCAGATGGAGGTCTTTCATGTTCTTCCCCACTAGATCTGTTACCTTCCAGAAAGAGCCTTGCAGCTTTGGTTTTGGATATCATAGGTGATAATGAGTTTTACTGTCCTTTCATCCCATTTCTTACTGTGCAGAATGCCTTGTAGCCTTGCCTTATAGTTGTGCTCATCATATGCTCCCTGGTGCTCCGTTTTAACCTCCCTTTTCTGCCTCATTTCCTAAACTTTTTATATCCTTCATTGCCTTCAAGCAGGCTGATTCTTGGCTTCCTTTTGCTCAGATTCCTGTAGCAACTGTAATTTCCTATCTTCTGTCTTCCATATGTTCTAACCCAGCCCACCCCCAAGGCTCCTAGTTCTTTCATTCTGGATCTTCCTGTGTATCACTGCCCATTCTCTTCTAGGCTTCCAAAATGAATAGTTTCCCCAAGCCTACCTTTGGTGACACTTTTCATCTTTTTTTTTGTCCTCCAGCCTCAGCCTCGGTGCATCCTCTCATTGACCCTCTGGCTTCAGGGTCTCACCTTACTCGAATCCCCTATCCAGCTGGGACTCTCCCTAACCCCCTTCTTCCTCATCCTCTGCACGAGAACGAAGTTCTTCGTCACCAGCTCTTTGGTAAAGATGGGGTTGAGAGTTGGGGAAACTACTGAGCAGAAGACAGAAGGAATTTGGGGGATAGGGTTAGACTAGGGTGGGATAATGAGGAAATGCCTAGAGGAGCTAGGAGTCAGACCCTGCTTAAGAGAGATGTGAGCTTTCGGTTTGGCAGTGGAGCTTTGCCGTGAGTCATAGTTGACTTGACGGCATCCAGTTAGTTACACAGAAGGTTGCATCCTAGTTCAAACATTGTGAACCTACAAAACTGGGCTATCTAAAGTGACAGGCTGTCTCAGCCTTGAGTTTTTGTTGTTTTGAACCATTGCGTTTGACAGACTCATAGCTTACCCTTCAGTGGGTTTTCAGAGGCAGTACATCACACAGCAAGAGATTTAGGTAGGACACAGCCCCTTACCATCAAACTACGAGAGCTCCTTACCCATCATCATTTCCTTGCCCACAGCTGCCCCCTACCGGGACCTGCCTGCCTCCCTCTCTGCCCCAATGTCAGCAGCTCACCAGCTGCAGGCCATGCACGCGCAGTCGGCCGAACTGCAGCGCCTGGCACTAGAACAGCAGCAGTGGCTGCATGCCCATCATCCATTGCACAGTGTGCCGCTGCCCGCCCAGGAGGACTACTACAGGTATGGGGCACCCTGGGCCAAGAGTGGGGAAGAAGGTTTTGCCAATGGAGTGTGGACACAGGGCCCTGGGGAATGCCGCACCTTCACCTGGGAGAGAGGCCAGGTCAAGTTGAACTCAGTTCTGCTCTGATTCTAAACCCCCCCCACCCCCCACCCCCAGCCACCTGAAGAAGGAAAGCGACAAGCCGCTGTAGAACCTGCAACCAAGAGAGCACCCACGGCCCCTGCGTCTGGACCTTGGAAGACTCCTCCTGGCCTGTCACAGAGCCCAGGAGAGGATACTGCTCAGTTGCAGGACCTCAGCAGCTGGGCAGCCAGGAAGAAGATGGGACAGAGGCCAAGGCTGGTGTGGGGAGGCGGTGAGGGTGGGGCAGAAGCGCACAGTATCTTGGACCAGGTCTCTTCCTTACCCCCTGCTTTTCTCTCACGAGCAGCCCTTGGTGGCCAGCCCCCTCTCCCCTACCCGTTGGTGTGATTATTTCATCTGTTAGATGTGGCTGTTTTGCGTAGCATCGTGTGCCACCCTGGCCCCCCTTTCCCTGTGTGCGCGCCCCCTGCAATGTATGCCCCTACTCCTTTCCCACATTAATAATTTATATATATAAATATCTATATGATGCTCTTTAAAAAACATCCCAACCAAAACCAAACAAAAACATCCTCATGACTCCCCAGATGATGGCTGTGACTCTTTCTTTGCGGGTTATGGGGGTGAGCTGTCTCTGAATCTTTGCAAGCAGATTAGTAGGGAAGTGGGAGGGACAGGGCCTGTGAAAGGAAATGGGCCTAGAGACCCTGCCCAGTTGGAGAGTAATATCTTGGAGGAGAGATGGTTCCACTGGGTGGGAATGCTGCTATCACCTGTGGGGTCCAAGGCTGGGGAAGTAAGCCTTGCGAGGTTTGACACAAACCCGTCCCAGATATGGTCGCTTCTGATAAACGCCCTTGAACTCTTGGGTTTTCTGCTACTACCCCCTCAACTAGAGTACACTACAATTCTCTGGGGTGAAGGCTTGAGTTCTCAATCCTTTCTGTGAAATAGTTTGAAGTGAGACTGGGAGTTGGGTAATGCCCCTCAGTTTGAGGAGGGCCTGGGTGGCCTGTGTAAAGCCCTGAAGGGGAGGGAAGGGAGAAGTACAATAGCTCTAGCTTTTATTACGGCAAATCACCGCTTTCGTTCTTAAAAAACTAATGGAGGTGTGACCGGCTGCTCTGTCAGCCAATCAGTATCATGCTCATTTGCATAGAGTAACGTTCACAAATCCAAGAAAAGAACGGTTTTATTCCTTAGATACTGCTTGGTTTTCTGCTGAAAGTTGGTCTGGTATGCAGCTTATTTATTGGCAGGAGTTCATAAAGTTCGCTCTTAGATCACCCTCACCAAGAGTAGAGTCTACGGATATTCTTCGTTCTCTGCACGCCCATTATTTTCAGTGTTACAGCTCTTTTTGAATTTGTCTAGCAGGTCTTCCGGGTTTTCCCGGAAGACCCTTATTACCTATGTGCGTTATTTTAACAATAGACTTGTTATTTTACGGGTTTTTTTCATGTATGTTAACATAAAAGTATTCTTGTGTTGCTCGTATTTATACTAAAAGCGGGGCTGTTTTGTGTTGTGCTGCAATAGCTTCCGGTTGCCGTTGATTCTGCTTCCCTTCCGGCCCCCACCAGTCCCAGAAGCCAGTTTTGCGAGGCGGTTTTCTCGCAGTTTGGCTGCACGTGCAAGTTTTCTAGTTCTGTATGGCGTCGGCCTCCGCCCAGCCCGCGGCCCTGAGTGCTGAACAGGCCAAGGGTGAGGAGTATTCTTATTCATGGGGTAGACTGCGGGGGGTGAGGGGGATGGCTGCAGCGGAGGACAGGGAGCGAGTGGTTGTCGACGAGAACGGTGGGCTCCGCCTACATATTCTCGGCTACGTGGGTTCCTTACCTTCCAGAGCGAAAGACTCAGGGCGAGTTTATCGAGTAACCAACACCTCAGTCCCCTAATTCTCTGTCCCTTTCCTTGGACTTGGACGGGTCCTGCCGGCGATGCTCCTATGCCTTCCCTGGGACTCCTTCTGGGCTGCAGTGGTCCTGGCTGAAGTCATCCAGGCGTTCTCCGCCCCAGAGAACGCCGTGCGAATGGACGAAGCTCGGGACAACGCGTGCAACGACATGGGCAAGATGCTGCAATTTGTTCTGCCAGTGGCCACGCAGATTCAGCAGGAGGTCATCAAAGCCTATGGCTTCAGCTGCGACGGGGAAGGTGGGTTGGGCGGTGTCAAGGTGGGTCGGGGATGGCTTGGGTCCCTGAACTGTTGTTCCTCCTCCCTCCGCACGGCGGCAGCCACACTCTGACTGGGAGTTTTGGCACACAAGTCTACCCTGAACAAAGTCCGAGGTGCATTTTGTAGTTATCATTAGTCATTAACATCCTCATTATTCAGATTCCAGTAGTAAAGTGCACAATAAAGAGCTGGACTGGAACCTAGTTTTGCCACCTTTTAGAAGGCTGCGTGAGAGCGTGCCTGCAGCCCTTTAAAGGTGTTAAAACCATAACCTGTTTGGGAATTGACGGTGAAATCTTCTACTGTTCTACAAGTTTGTTTTTTCACTCAGCCCTGCTACTCCGTACCTCTCCTGTGAGGGCTTGTAGACTTAGGATCTCTTGGGTATTTATACTGTAGATTCTTGTGACTAAACTACGGTGGATTTCCTGCGAGAGAAGCGAGTGCTGCTTTGGGATTTTTTTCATCCACTGTATTCCCATCAGTCGTTTGCAGTGTAGATGAGGAATGAGTTGATCCAAACCACTTGGGAGAGAGGCCACCCTGTGTACACACCTGTTTTGCAGCCAGTTGGCCGGACACCACCTCTTCCATCCTTGTTCCCCTCCCACAGTCCTCAGAGTGTAGTTTGACTCTCTCCTCCCCTTTGCAGGTGTCCTTAAGTTTGCCCGCTTGGTCAAGTCCTACGAAGCTCAGGATCCTGAGATTGCCAGCCTGTCCGGCAAGCTGAAAGCTCTGTTCCTGCCCCCGATGACCCTACCACCCCATGGACCTTCTCCCAGTGGCAGTGTGGCTGCCTCCTGAGGGAATTGGCGTTCCGGAAGATAATAAACTTGGCTGTGACTTGGTCTTAGTGTTAGTCTTTTGTGACCCAGCAACCTGTCTCCAGAGTCCCTCATCATCCCAGACTGCATCTACCTCCTGTGTTCTCTGCTGGGCCTAGCCCAGCACCAGAGAAGGCCTCACACTTTTCATTTTCCCCTTCCCACCCAAGGAAGGGGGAGAGGATGGTCTGTCCCATCAACACCCAGGGTAGGTGGGTGAGCATGTACAATAGCACTTCTTTCTTTGAGGAATCAGGCTTTGCAGGGTTTTTCTTGGGTCCTCTGTAACTTCACTCGTCCCTGTTTTCAAGCCAGGGCTGCTTCCTGGTCTTTGCCTCTACCAGCCTTTCCACTGCTCTGCCAGGTGGAGCCCCAGGTGGCTCCTCCCCTCCCCAGGGAAGGAAGGAGGCCTTGGCCGGGCTGGCGGGCCTGCTGGACAGTTGAGAGGGGCAGGCAAGCCAGCGGAGACTGACCCCGCCCCTCCTATCCCTGCTCCAGGATCCTTACCGTGGGGGATTGGCTCTTTCCTGAGGTGCTATTGGCCTGACGTCCTGGATTGAGGAGGAAGTAGCTGAATTCTGAGTGCTCTTCCTCACCTGCCAGGGGCTGCTGTGTATTCTACTGTGCCTTGAGCTCAGCCCCACCCCCTGCAGCTCTCTGTGTGACTTCCCGTTCTTTTCTGGGAGATGCTGTCCCGTGGGTAAGTCCCCTGTCCCACCTGGGTCCTACAAAGTCTTGTTAGTTTGGGAGAGGGGTGGTTCATGCTCACACCTAGCAGGTGTGTTCCCATGAGGGTGACTGTATGGTACTTTCCCTAAAATACGTGAATCTCTATGCTCATTCATATTCTTCCACCCTGCTTCTTTTAAAAACATTGTCTTTTATCCCTGACATGTGTGTCTATTTCCACAGGCTCACATTTCCACTTTTATTCTCTGGTCCTCTGCTTCTGTGTCTGCTAAGGAACTTTCCTCCTCATTAATCCACATCATCGCAAGCATGGTAGACTAAAAAGCAGACCTGAGAACACTCTCTTGTGCCCACTCAACTCTATACTCCTAGCCTTTGGCTTTGGTTCCATTTTCTTTCCATATCCCTTAACTACCCCCTATCCAAACACTCAACAAATAAATATTGACATCTGTTGTGTGCCAGGAACTGTTTTAAGATGTTGGAAATACTGCAGTAAACAAGACAAACAACCCTTTGCTCTCAAGGAGATTGTCCAACCCAATATACAGGATAATTTCAGATTTTCATACGTTCTACGTAGAATATGAAACAACTTCTTGTGAGAGTCTGAGTGTGAGGGTACTAGGGGCATTATTTGCTGGAGAAATAGGGGAGGGCTTTCCTGAAGAGGTGACCTTTCTGAAATGATGAGGAAGAGCCAGCTGCATGGTCATCAGGAGTCAAATTTCCCTACCAAATGGCTTGGTGAGGCCCATGCAGAGGCCAGAAAGTATGGCAAACAAAAGCTCTGCAGTGGGAAACAAAAGGACGGATTCTTGCTTCTCACACTCACACCCGCCCCTTCCCTTCTCTCTGCACTGCCTCCCCCATGTACACCTTTGTCAACTCAACTGACTGGGTTCTTGATAAGTCTTCTTGTCCCTGATCCCTTCTGTACTCTTGCTGTGGTCGTTTCCCGACCAAATGGGAAATTCTACTTGTGTAGAAGTCTTCCTTGCCTTCTTATCGTTGTAAGACGCTCAATAACTAGGTCCCAGCCTTTGCTGAACATCTTTGATTCAGCCCACTGCTCCGCCCACTTCTCCAGTGGGTGTTGTACGTGCACCTCTGTGCCTTTCCATCTCCTGCCACTGGTGCAGTTCCAACTCCCTCCCTCCTCCATCACCAGCTGTTCCAAGCCCACCCCATCTGCTCTTCCAGCATCATGATTGGTGGTATGGAAAGAAGCAGGCTGTGGTTTATCTGCCCTCACTTTTGCCCTTACAAGTTCCTTAACCTTCCTGAACCTCAGTTTTTGTTTCTAAAACAGGACTGATAATACGAAGTAGAGTGACCTAGTGGGTAAGGACTTGCAGCCAATCTAAAAGCAGGTGGTTTGAATTCACTATCTGTTCCTCTGGAAAAAGACGGGCAGTCTTCAGGAATTTATGGCCTCTAAAACCCACTAGAGGGTCAGCTATGAGTCGATTCTGATGTAACAGCAGTAGAAGACTTTGAAATAGAGTTGAGAGGGCAGTGGTGGTTCGGTGGTAGGATTCTTGCCTTCTGCTTAGAAGATCTAGATTCAGCTCCTGGCCCATGCACCAGGCACAGCCATCATCTGCTTCTAAGAGGAGGCTTCTGTGCTGCTGTGATGCTGAATAGATTGGGAAGTGGGGTGGGGGCTTCAAGAGTAAGATGAACTAGGACGAAAGGCCTAGTGATCTACTTCCAAAAATCAGTTAAAACCCTGTGGACCGAAAATCAGTTAAAACTCAGTGGACTGCCCTTGTCCTGTCCTGTCGGGTGCAGGGCTTCTATTAAATGAGGGCAAACTTCATGGCAATGAGCAACAATAATGGAGTTGGCAAATAGAATTGGAATAAGGATTAATAATGTAAATTCTGTGGACACTGAATATAATATATCAGCTTTTTTTTTAATATTAAGAAGAATGTTTATCATGTTTTTACATTTATCAGATGGGGCTACCAAGGCTCAGAGAAATAACTTTCTAGAGTTTTTATCACCTTGTTTGTTCTTCTAGACTTCCTCATCTCTTATCTTTACCTCTCTACTTCCCAAAGGGATAATTTTCCTTTCTGAATTATCTGGCATGCACTCCCCCCCCTTTGGTATGCACTTTTGTAACTCTCAGCCTCCCCAAGTCTGCCTCCTTTTTAAAAGTAGGGGAAAGAATTTCTTCACTGTAGGGTTGTCTGAGACCCAAATGGAATTGTGTATACGTAAGTATTTACAAATCCCTGGGCGAAAGTTACTATTTTTGTCGTTGTTATTGTGTATGTGTAAGTGCTCTGCAAACTTGCTATACCAAGGTTATTTTTTCTTTTTCTGTCTTAGAGTCTGTCCACTGACTTTCCCTTTTCCTGCCTCTGGTGAATTAGGAGTTTCTGGGTGCCTCAACTTTGGTGGGTCCCACCAAGTGGATTTAAGCCCAAGGAATGTGGGTGGGACCAGAGTAGAGTGGGTGTTTTGCTTCTGAACATGTGTGGACATTTCCTGCCAGATGAACGGTGTGTGTGTACATGGATGACAGAATGACTATGGTGGGACTGTGTGTGCGTAAGTACTGTGCTAGTATGTGAACAAACTCGCCTAAGTATAATAAGCTGTGTGTGTGAATGACCAGAGGTGGCGCTGTGACTGCTGGCATACATGGGTATGATGAATCTGTTTATTGGACACTTTGTGCTAGGCGGACAAGTTGGCCCCATCCTGGGGGAACTGTGCACATACATATGCTCTTCCTACATCGTGTTGTGGGAAGGAGTTAATTTGAGTTCACAGAATGGTGAGTCTGGTGACATGGTGAGCTAAGTGTTGAGCTGCTCACTGGAAGGCCAGCAGTTCAAACCCACCAGCCACTCAGCAAGAGAAAGATGTGACAGTCTTCTCTTGGAAATCCGATAGAGGGTTGTCTTAAGTCAGCATTGATTCAACAGCAGTGGTTTTTGACCAAGACTAAAGGAGTGATCAGTGTTAAACTACCTGATAGACCTAAGGAAGTTCCAAGAGCACCAGAAAAAGAAAACACACACACACACACACATATTAGTCAAAGAAAAAAAATAATCTGGTCAAAGTCATAAAACACAATGTACATGAATGAAACACAATGGATGTAAATATACAAAACCCAGCAAAAACAAACTGGTCAAAGTACTATATTTTTCTCTAATTTTGCATTGAGGTATAACATATATAATGATCATAAATTGTCAGACTTCAGCTTGATGAATTTCACAGTTACACATGCCTGTCTACCGAGTGCCCAAGAAGCTTTCTGGAAATTACTGTGTCCTAGTGAATCTTTTTAAAATAAAGGTAACACATGTCCATGATATTGCTTCTGAAAAGGTAGAAAAGAGAAACCAGTGTCTCACAGAGGCTGTGGTGGTTTGGTGGGAGCACTCTCTAGGAGGGATACCTGGGTTTTATTTCCAGACAATGCATTATGCACAGCTGATATCTGCCTGTCAGTGGACCTTCAGTTGAATTTGTAGCCAAAGATAGACTAGGAAGAAAGGCTTGGTGATCTACTTTCACAGCCTCAGAGATCCAAGCCTATTATGCATGGGCTTATCACGATGAATCGTGAGTATGATGGCTAACACAGCAGTGTACCTCTCCCAGCCTTGTTCTCCAACCTCCCGGTTTTCCTCTCTAGAGGAAGCCACCAATATAGACATCTTTTACTGAGCTGCTTTTCTCTTGTTTTGGCTTGGTGGTGTTTGTGTTTTTAATTACATTCAGAGAGCATCATAAGTATTGTCTTTAGGACCTTTAAAAACGTCACCTAGTTCTGCACCCACGCTCCAGGGATTCAGCTCCTCAGCCTCCAGCTCTCAGGAGCCAGGCTCCCTGTTCAGAGTCCAGGAGGCCCTGTGCTCTGGACCAGTCAGACCAGACCTGTTCCTCAGGCTTAGGGTGGAGGAGACTGAGGGGCACTGCCTGGCTCTGGCCCTGACTTACTCCCTTACAGCTGGGTCCCCCTCCCATTCTGTTTCATGGATTAGGCTACATGGTGTAGAGCAGGGCAAAGGACAAGAAAAGGCTTGAGTGTGACAAACCACACAGAGGACATTAGGCGTGATCCTCTGCCATTGTAGTCGGGGCAGCCCTCCTGCTTTTAAGCACCTGTAAGCCCTTGGCTATTAGAGAGTCTGTCCACCACAGCCCCATTCAACTAGGAGTCTCCCAGTCTTTGCTTCAGGAATCCTTGAAGACTAAGATCTAATGAAAATCTTTTACTTTTGAGCCATCTGCCTCTTACAGACCGGATGGCCTAGGGCAAGTT